GGATTCAGGCTACCTCCTTCGGGACGGACAGGATCCGCGCGGTCCAGGTGGAAGGGACCGGTCACCCGCGCCCAGGGAAGGCCGCCCAGTCTCGCGAGTGATCAATCACCACCTCCGCAATAACCACCAAGACCCCTATCTCGGGCCATGCTTGGCCGGCCACGAGGGGGCGCGAAGCTGGGAGGGCCGCGCCCTGCGACCCCAGCTCTTCGGACTCCACTCATGGTGGGGCTAGGGGAGGCCATCAAGGGCCCATTTTCTGAACCACCGTGGTGGGGCCGCGGGATATTGGACCTCGGGCATGGAGTTGTGGCCACATTTGCGCGACAGCTGGCCATCGCCCTGGCACAGGCGATCACGGCTATCTCGTTCTTTCTAGAGTAGAACCCGTCCCCCTTTCTCCACCCTTTCGAAGAAAGCTCGACTCCTAGTGGAGCCGCAATTCTAGCGTGGATGGTGAATTCCGCAGAGGAGAGCTGAAGCTGATGGAGGGAAGAAGGACGCATTTCCAATTTGTCCTCTCTCCTCTGTGGCCAATGAGCCTCCTTTGACTTCCTCCCCTGGCTGGGACTGAAGTCGCGCCAAGAGCTTGGCAGTGGAGCGCAGCCCCAGCACTCTCCCGGGCTCATCCGACTCAGGAGCTCGGAGGGCATCCGGCCCGCGCTCGACCCTCGCCACTAGGCGCCGCTGCGCGCACGCGGATCCCGGGGTCCGGCCGCCAAGCTGGCCTAGCGAGCAGCCTCCAGGAAGGAGGCCATTCTTACTTTATTCATTTACTTTTGATTCTGCCAGGAGTTATTTTCTTTGATGATGATGATGATGATGATGATGATGATGATGATGATGATGCTTTTAAGGTATTAATTCTTTTTGTATTCCCGCCTACGTGTTAGGAGAGGCCTGGTGACTGGGAATCAGCGGGTTGAAGGAATTTTTAAACCACCGCGAGGCTTCCCCATCCTGGGACACCTTTTGCATGCCTTAGTGGGAGAAAGGGCTCACCCATCACTGACATCCGTGCTTCTGGCTGCCTGCTACAGGCTCCCTGGGAGGGTCTTAACTTCCGGGAGCTGGATGTGGAGAGCGCGATGGGCTGGCTGGACAGCCGCACCAGCCCATGGCCTAACAATATTTGATGAACTTAACTATGCTAAGTGTTAGCTCACTTATTCCACTCAACAACTGTTATTGATATATCTTTTCCAAGGACAAGAAAACTAAGGCTCAAAAAGGTGAAGGTCACCCAGTTAGCCACCCCAGGCAGCACTTGGGCACTGCGCTTACCCCAGCTACTGCACAGGCCAAGCAGGAGCCAGGTAAAGGTGAAGCACTGCTGTTTGTTCCTCTGAAGGCAGGGGTCTCGGCAGGAAACTCAGGACAGAAGGTTTTGGGCAATCTCCAGAAATCTCTGCCCTTTGATGCCTCCCACTAACCAGATTTCAGGCCTCTCTCACCCAAACACTTCCTTAGGGAAGTCTTGGCCTTTGGGGAAACACAGAGGAGCTCATAGTAGGAGTGTGAGACCAGCAACAGCTTGTATTTGTTCAACTTTATTGTTCAGTCTTGGAGCCCGGCAACAAACCTTGGAGGTAGGTAGATAATAATAACAACAGTAATATCAAGGACAGGAGCTAATTTTTTTGCAGCTCATCATATGCTAGACACTGCCCACCACTTTGCTTGTCTTATCTCCTTGGTCAGCCCCAAGGGCCAAGATGCTATTCTTTAGTCCCATTTCATAGAAGAGATAACAGAGGCAAAGAGAGATTAGGAATTTGCTCAAGGTCACTCAAGTATAACAATAAGGTATAACAAACATACGGTAAAATTCGCCCTTGTAGTTTACAGTTCTGAGTTTTGTAAAACGTCTACAGATGTGTAAGTACCACTACAATCAGGAACTAGAGGGGTTCGGTTCGATCACTCCCCGAAACAGGCCTGACTCCTGCCCTCCACTGCCTTGCAGACGGCATTGGCTGTATTTTTACAGATGACAAAATGGAGGTTGGGAGAGGTTGCTGTATTGCCCCAAATCACTCAGCCAGTAATTGTCAGATCCGAGATTAGAACCTTCATCGTGTATCTTCTAGTCTTGCTGCCTGCAGAGTATAGATTCTGGAATCTACAGAGCCCAACCGGCAGTGGCATGGGGCGAGAGGAAAGGGAGCCCCTTGCTCTAAGATGGAGCCTCAGAAATCCCCTATTCCCACTGCACATGCTGCCTGTACAAACACCCCCCACCCCAGGGCAGCTAAGGAACAAAGAGGGGCCAGATTCTGCAAGGCCAAAGCCACCAGTAAAATGAACACGGCCACCCAGTCCAAGGACCCAGGGCTAGGGGTGGCTCAGAGTCCGAGTCCAGACCACAGTGCCCAGTGCCCCGGGTGCGCCCCCATCTGCCAGTCTGGTTGATGAGTTACACTCCTTGTCAATCCCCTATTGCCCGTAGGAGCCTGGTGCACGAAACTTCCTGAGCTCCCGGAGTCTGGGTGCATGAATTAGCATAGGTTACCCAGCTTCCAGGGCTTCGGAGGGGCCCCTAGTCACTGGAAACCCACCTCTCCCTCATGAGAGCCCAGGTAAGGCTTAGGCAGGAGGCAGAGGAACTGGCATGCCCTGCTCCTACCAGGAGGGTGGGCAGCGGGAGCCCACAGCTGCCTTGCCCTGCCCACCTGCATTCGGACTAGAGCCCCCGAGGCAAACCTGACCCTCCCAAGGCTGTTCTTGGTGAGGCAGCTGGCCTGCAGAGGATGACCCGCAGAGGATATTGCAGAGGAGACCTGGCCGGGAGCAGCCGAGGCCCTCTGCCTGGGCCAAATGTCCCTACCCCAGGAGGGTGGCTTCTGGGTCTGGGCTCCAAGGGGTCGCTCACTCTCCAGATTCTGGCCGAAGAGGGGAAAGGGCTTAAGGGGATGCCAACGATATCTTAGTGCTCAGCCTTAGAGTTTTGAAAGAAGAGAAACACCCTCACATATCACACACTGTGGAGACCGTGACTGGATCCCCTTTGCCCTCAAGGTCATCTAATACCCTCAGCCAAGATCAGTAACACTAACTGCAAAGAATAGTCACTGCAGCCAGGGTGGGGCTTTTAATGCCCCTGGTTTTCTACCTGGAGCCAAAGGCCCAGTTTGGAAGGTCTCAGGGTGAGCCCGACCCTCCAGTCCTCTTGGAGAGCCTTCCACAGAGAAGGGTACTCTCCCCCACCTCTCTCCAGGATCCCAGATCTACAGCCTGCCTAAATTGGTTGTTTCTTCCTGGCTTTGGAAATAGAGGTTGACTTTTACCTCCACCCCAGGTTGGCTGGATGGCACAGCCGAAAGACCTTTACCTTTCTCAGTGACTTCAGGATTGCCACTGGCCTGAGTCTAGACTATTGGAGGGAGGGATTTCTGAGCAGGAGACAATATTTTTGGAGGTTGAAGGTACGGGTTCTAGGGAGGTGCGTCTTGGAGTGTACCCCACCCTAAGGGGCTGGATCGAACACCCTATATCCTTGGGCCTGGGAAAAAGGATAGGGGGTGGGTTGGGATGCGAGCTACAAAGCAAGGGCAGGAGAATCCGCTAAGGAGGAAAACCCAGCCCTGGTCCCTGCCCAGAGCTGGCATCAGAGGTCCACAGCCTGAGGCAGGGGCAGATTTCTCTGCATCAGGGCAAAGCTGAGGCCCACACATGTCTGGTGTGTGGACGTGTGTAGGTGCGCATGTCCTGGGAAGGCTGGGTGTGGGAGGGGGCAAGACACATTATCTCGGTTGGCCCCTCGCTAAGGTCAGGTGCCTAGACTACCCCAGAAAGCACATTCCTAACTCTTCTCTTGCCTGGAGAGTTTTCCAAAGGAGGAATTTGGACCCCCACCCCAACACAAACCATGCCTGGAATAAAGAAGAGAAATTGACATGAACATAAATACACAGCAGGTGAAACCAGAGTGAGTCAGGAGAGACCCCCAAGGCAGAGAGGGAGGTAGGTGGGGAAATGGAGAACATGTCCTAGGACCTGGGACCCTCCGCTGAGGAATCTGGTGGCATTTCAGCCTGGCTCGCACGACTTCGCTCTTCTCCCCCCACCCCCTTCGACTTTTTCCCTGTCTCACGGCAACCTAGTCACCAAACACAGGCATTTCTTGTCTTTAAGAGAAATGACATGAGCTTCCAAGTAATAGATTTAAAGGAAACCAGATTTCTTTTTATCGTTAATTGTAAACGTGCAAAATACCTGCTGGTACTTCACTTTAGAAGAATGTAATTGGCAAAAAGGAAAAAAAAAAAGAGGAAAAAAGAAGCGGCTGATGAATAGATAATAGATCTTTAACCACCAATAAACAGAGAGCAGCGCCAGCAGCCTGGGGGATGTGATCATAATTATGCTGCTGCGTGAGCCAATGGGGACGAGGGAACTCGGCCCTAAAATCATCCCAAAACCGAAGGCAAGCTCGAAAATGCGGACACGGCCTAGGACCGGAGACGCGATCTGTAGTCCCTAGTCGCGAGCCCTTAGTGTGCACAGCAACCCATCCCTGGGACGACAGATGGCAGAATAATAATAGAAATTATAACAACAACAACGACAACAACAACAACAACAAGAGCAATAATAATAATAACGATCACAACAGCACTCACGAAATAGTAACGACAACGAAACGATAATAGTAGCACCACATCAGCCCCTCACCTGACCTTGGACCCCCGGTCCCAAATATCACAGAAGGGACTGTTTTTGGAAAAGAGGTGAACATTCTTCCAGAGAGAGAAAGAGACAGACAGCCTGTGGGGAGAGTCTTAAGCCCACCGCCCAACAGGGTCGTCGACTCCCGTCTCAACTTGCAGATGGACAAGCTGGGTCAAGGATCGCGAACGCAGCTACTCGTGGTTGGAGGACTTCCACCCCCAGGCTCCCTCCTCACCTAGGAAACCGCCCAGAGTTTTGCCGGGGGTGGGGATTGGTATAACCAAACGGCTCCGTTAGCCCTAGCCCAGGACCAGCCCGTGTGCGCTTACCCTCTCGGTGTTTCCGGAGCGATCCCAGCTCCCCTGACGCGGGGACGCGAGCAGGCAGCAGCGGCAGAGCGCTAGGCGCGAGGAATCTGCGCGTCTGTCCGTCCGTTTGTCCTACCGGCTCTGGCTCAGCAGGCTAGGGATCCGGGGGGCCGCAGCGGAGGCGGCGCCGGCCGGGGACTCTGCAGGGACCGGGGTGCCCCGGAGGGAGTGGTGGTGGAGGAGGAGGCGGGAGGAGGTGGGGAAAGAGGAGGAGGAAGGAGAGGAGGAGGAGAAGGAGGAGGAAGAGGAGGAGGAAGAAGAGAAGGAGCCGAAGGAAGAGGAGGAGGCGAAGGAGGAGGAGAAGCTGCAGCGGGCGCCGCGGGAGCGAGAGAGCTGGGAGCGCGGGGCGAGGGCGGGGAGGGCG